ATCTATCTTCATTTACGTGTTTATGCCCCACGGTCCACCCAAACCGCCCCTTGCAATGTTGCAGAGACCCCAAAGCCTCCGGTGGTAGAGGCCGACATGAAGGGCACGGTGGTTGCAGGCACTGTCCTTGACCTGACCTGCACCACCCACGGAGGTCACCCGCCACGCCAGGTCAAGTACGTCCTTGACGGTATGATACTCGTCCTAGAGACCCTAGTGTAATTATGTAGGCTAGGTGAGCCCGAGGCGTCTAGAGACACAGGGGCATGCTAGAGTAGGTTTGCCGGTGGAACACATCTTGTAGAGCTATGGTTATGAGGTTTATGGTTATTATGCTATTGTCATTGTGATTTATTATGATACACACATATATACTTGAATATAAATACGTACGCGCTCACGCACGCGCGCACGGACACACACACACACACAAGCAAACACGCACCCACGCACACACACACACACACACACACACACACACACACACACACACACACACACACACACACACACACACACACAAACACACACACACACACACACATACACACACACACACACACACGCTCGCGCGCGCACATATCTATATATATACAGGGTGTCTAAAATATCTATACATACCCTGAATATTCAAAAGTTGAAGATGCATCCAAGTTTTATATCTGCAATTAAGGAAGACAAATGTACAACCGTTTCGAGCCAACGCCAGTGCTCAAAATGATGGCTTTCTGGTCCAGGCACAGCTGATATCATGGGCTGGTGGAAGTGCGTCCATCGCGCATAATTCAATTTGGTGTTCCAGGGCACTCTGTTTCAATAGCTTTTAATAATCCTATTACTGTTGCTGGTTTCGTGTGATAAACCTTGACTTTGAGTGGGATTAGCCTTATTTCCAAGTGTCTTACTACTTAAAAATAAACTAGCGCGTGGTATGGTGAACAAGGTGGTACTGTTACCACCACAATGACTAGTTCTTCTTGACCATGTACTATTATCACCATAATGACCAGTTCCTCTCTTACTGTCGCGTACTTATTACCAGAATGACTAGTTTCCCTCTTTGCCCATGTACTATTACTACTATAATGGCCAATTCCCTTATTTAACCAGTTCCTCCCTTCGACCATGTGTCATTACTACCACAATGACCAGTTTCCCTCTTTGATCATATACTATTACTACCACAATGACCAGTTTGCCTCTTCGATCATGTACTATTACTACCACAATGATCAGTTTCCCTCTTCGATCATGTACTATTACTACCTCAATGACCAATTCCTCTTTTCGGACACATTTTCATCACGATAGACCGTCTCATCAGGATGCTAATGCCACGTATTTGGGAAATTGTAGGGGATGCGTTGGGCCTTTATTTCCAAGATGGAGAGCTTTCACGCCGCCATAGTCTATTTCGATGTAAATCTGCTGAAGGGATCGATTGGGCGAAGTATTATGAGTACCTCCCCCCCTCCCTCCCCCAACCCCCCCAATTCTCTCCCAATCACTAGACTTCACAATACATTTTATTTGTTGTCGTTTTTTTTATTGATTTGTAGATATTACTTTTATTAATTTAGGGGGATATCATTAGCATTACTTTATGGAGATATTATCACTATCATTATCGAAAACAGTGATTTTATTCTATGGTGATATTATTGATATTTTATGGAAATTTCACTATCAATATTTCATGGAGATATCGTTATCAGAGATATATATTTTTTTATCACAGAAAATCGTCGACAATACATTTATTCGAGGAAGAGTTTGAAAGAGCAGGGATTAAATTAATTGCGCTGTTTGCAAATCCACTGGTCTGCTTTATCTACAGTGCCTCGTGCAGAAAAGCCATAATTCTGAACAATGGGAATGGCCGTCATAATTCTATATTTTGTCTTCGTTCATTTGAAATATAAAAATTGTTATGTATCTTAATAAACTATGGAACCATAAATATTCAAAGTGTCAGTATATTTCTGGGGGGAACACTCTGTATATATAGATATGTAAATGTACGTGTATACACACACGAACACATACACACACACACACACACACATACACGTACGCGCACAGACACACACACACACACACACACACACACACACACACACACACACACACACACACACACACACACACACATACACACACACACACACACACACACACACACACACACACACACACACACACACACACACACACATACAGACCCACACACATGGTGTATACGTCAGTATGTATACACACATATTGTGAGGTATTTAGGATTAATAAAGATTAACTTTTCTGCAGTCGATATAATCATTAATATCTCTTATCATAACACGAGGTATTAAGAAATACAAACATACATAGCTCTTGAAATCCAATTCCTCAATTTTATCACCAACATTATATCTTCCCTCCCCCCCCACACACACGAAAAAATATTTATCTATATATGTATAATCGTAAAAATCGGTATCTCCTTCCTCACTGAAACAGGATGTTCAAAGGCGAAGAACAAATGGACATCGAAGTAGAAGAAGACGAGAACATGACAGTGGCCCACACAGCGATCACAGTAGAACCTTCAGACAACAAAGCCAAGATAGTGTGTGAGGTTCAGAACCCTACGTCTCAAGAACCACTAACTGGACACACGACGATCAGCTTGTTTTGTAAGAAACATTGGTAATGCGTCAGACACTCGCCGATTATGACATAACAATTTTGCTTGCTGTTAAGTCTGTAGAGTAAAGTTTATCAATGAGTTTTGGGGAGAGAGTGTGTGTGAAATGTGTGTAAAGAACACAAATTGGTTGAAAATAATCCATGTGTTTAGTTGTTTTTCAGAAGGGTATATTTAGAAACACGTGTGCAGCTGTGTGTGTGTGTGTGTGTGTGTGTATGACATAATACACCAAATATGATTATTTTTTTCCTTATTATCATTATTATAATCACTGCCGTTGTTGGTTGCGATATTTCATCATCACACCATTGCATCAACATAATTTTCATCTATGAAGTTGAAATTTATCTATCTATAGTTAATACTAACTCAAGTCTTCTGGACATATTATACAAAGTTTCCTGTGACACATTCCGAAACAGAATGGATGATAATGAATAATTCTCTATATGCAAGATATGCAATCAACCATTCGAATAGAAATCAAGTCAGATTTACATATTGATGCAGATGTGTTATTAAATACGTCAGTTACGTATCCCTGCAATGTAGAGTCATTCATTCTTCATTTCTTTCTCTATCTATGTACAGCTTCTTCAATATCTTCCAGTAATGAAATAAATGGTGTGCAAGTGCAACAGAATCGTAAAAAACAATAAAAAATAAAGAATAAAGATGCACTTAATAAAAAAGATAATAATAATAATCTCTTGGAATTCCATCAGCGTAAAATAACACTCATCTATTTAAAACCTGTAAGATATCAGAAAAAATCTCGAATACTTTATTAAAATGTAATTGATACAGGGATACACTTGCTTTTTATTTTGTGAAAACGGTTTCATATCATTTTCTTTACCTTTTTTTTTGTACCACTGATCCTTCAGTAATATAAATATCAGCTGAATGATAAGAACGCTATGAAACATAATCACAGAATATCTATTACCGTTTTATTTTATTTCATTTAATCCCAGATTTACTTTCTCTTACAGAATTATAATTTTCTTAAATAGCAGAAACAGAATCATGGTATTCCTGGTGCTGTGAGCTCCCAACACACACTCAAGTAATAACTCAAGGAATAACACAGACTCATCCTTAAAGAAACATTGGTAATCATGACATCCCTGACGCTGAGAGCTCCCAAACACACACTCAAGTAATAACTCAAGTAATAACTCATCCTTAAAGAAATAGGTATTGGTCTAGTTCCAGCGTGGGAGGTCAAGGGTTGGGTCAATCCTCGGAGTGTCGAGGTGAAGGAGGAGGTGACCCTCGGCTGTGAGACTTCGCCTAGTATCCCGCCCTCGACTGTGACCTGGCACTCGGGAGGAGCCACTCTAGAGGGCGCCACCACGAAGCAGTATCCGGGCAAATACGGGGGAACTGTAACTAGGTAAGTTTTTTTGTTTTTTTAAGGTTTTTCGTTGTTGAAGAATCGTCTTTTGTGATTATTACTCTTGTTGTTGTTATTTTGTATTTTCGTATAAACATTTTTAACGTCTATTGGGATATTTCGAATACCTGTTGGCTGTTCTAGCTCTGAGAAATAAGCAGTTGAAAGGCAAGACACTTTATGGGTGTTTCAATACCAGAAGTCTCTCCTGCAACAAAAAAAAGCATCGTACATCAGGCAGTTCCAATAAGAAATAGTTTTGTTATGTCTTTGGAGGTTCGCCGCAGTCTAAATTTGGCCCAGTTGCAGAGGCTCTTTGTTGCTTCGTGTTGCAATGCCCTTAGCAAGTCACAAAGTGTCACCGAGTTTACCCAAGTCACTCACGACAGCTAAAACGGTCGACGGCATTTGAGGTCGCAGGCAAAGGGGACAGAACACCCTGCACTTTTATTTTTACTTCGGTCAATTTCTCCCTCTTTTGTTCAGACGGAAAGATCTCATCGAAGAAATAAAAGACAATAAACAAAACCCCCAAAAAAATAAAAGTGAGAAAAGAAAACTAGTTGGTAGTCACGCCGAAACCTTTTTTTTAGCCCAGAGGAACTGCACTCTGTCCTGATTCCCTCTCTGTAGCTCGGAACTGCGTGTGAGGCCGCTTGCAGATGACAACGGACGCGTGTTTTCGTGCAATGCAAACAACGGCCTCGGAGTCACCGTGTCTGCAGATCTGGTCATTGACGTCTTACGTAAGTACTTCATCTGGTATTTGAATTAGTCTATGAAAACTCGGGAAGTCGGGAAGCATGTTGACGCAGATTTCCCTCGAGGCTTGGGATGCAATGCCCTAAGAGAGGAACCCCGGGTTATATGTGGTGAACCGTGTCTGCAATATACCATATACGATGCATTCACTACAACACCTAACATCAGAATTATGCCTTTGAACGAACACATGCATATGTATTTTACTTGAACACTGCATATATATAGACATTATTCCCATACGGTACAAGAATATTTTTATCATAATTTTTTTTTCTCTCGCTTTTTTTTTTTTTGTGACGACTAGGGTTAACAGCCGAGGGTTAAAATGCAATAACCACGTCGAACTGTTTACTATTTTTGTGCGTCTCAGAGTTAATAACGTGTTAACAAGACTAACCCCTTTTCTGTAATAAATGACAAGGCCTTCAAAGACGCGTGTTCAAAAATAAAATGGAAAAAAAGGAAGATGGACAGCTTAAATAAATGAAGGGAGGCAGACAGACGGTGATAAAAAGGGATAAAGAAAAAAATAAAGAATAAAGATGCACTTAATAAAAAAGATAATAATAATAATCTCTTGGAATTCCATCAGCGTAAAATAACACTCATCTATTTAAAACCTGTAAGATATCAGAAAAAATCTCAAATACTTTATTAAAATGTAATTGATACAGGGATACACTTGCTTTTTATTTTGTGAAAACGGTTTCATATCATTTTCTTTACCTTTTTTTGTACCACTGATCCTTCAGTAATATAAATATCAGCTGAATGATAAGAACGTTATGAAACATAATCACAGAATATCTATTACCGTTTTATTTTATTTCATTTAATCAAAGATTTACTTTCTCTTACAGAATTGTAATTTTCTTAAATAGCAGAAACAGAATCATGGTATTCCTGGTGCTGAGAGCTCCCAACACTCACTCAAGTAATAACTCAAGTAATAACACAGACTCATCCTCAAAGAAACATTGGTAATCATGACATCCCTGACGCTGAGAGCTCCCAAACACTCACTCAAGTAATAACTCAAGTAATAACTCATCCTTAAAGAAATAGGTATTGGTCTAGTTCCAGCGTGGGAGGTCAAGGGTTGGGTCAATCCTCGGAGTGTCGAGGTGAAGGAGGAGGTGACCCTCGGCTGTGAGACTTCGCCTAGTATCCCGCCCTCGACTGTGACCTGGCACTCGGGAGGAGCCACTCTAGAGGGCGCCACCACGAAGCAGTATCCGGGCAAATACGGGGGAACTGTAACTAGGTAAGTTTTTTTGTTTTTTTTGTTCTAAGGTTTTTCGTTGTTGAAGGATCGTCTTTGTGATTATTACTCTTGTTGTTGTTATTTTGTATTTTCGTATGAACACTTTTAACGTCTATTGGGATATTTTGAATACCTGTTGGCTGTTCTAGCTCTGAGAAATAAGCAGTTGAAAGGCAAGACACTTTATGGGTGTTTCAATACCAGAAGTCCGTCCTGCAACACAAAAAGCATCGTACATCAGGCAGTTCCAATAAGAAATAGTTTTGTTATGTCTTTGGAGGTTCGCCGCAGTCTAAATTTGGCCCAGTTGCAGAGGCTCTTTGTTGCTTCGTGTTGCAATGCCCTTAGCAAGTCACAAAGTGTCACCGAGTTTACCCAAGTCACTCACGACAGCTAAAACGGTCGACGGCATTTGAGGTCGCAGGCAAAGGGGACAGAACACCGTGCACTTTTATTTTTACTTCGATCTATTTCTCCCTCTTTTGTTCAGACGGAAAGAAAAAATAAAAGACAATAAACAAAACCCCCCCAAAATAAGAGTGAGAAAAGAAATCTAGTTGGTAGTCACGCCGAAATCTTTTTTTTAGCCCAGAGGAACTGCACTCTGTCCTGATTCCCTCTCTGTAGCTCGGAACTGCGTGTGAGGCCGCTTGCAGATGACAACGGACGCGTGTTTTCGTGCAATGCAAACAACGGCCTCGGAGTCACCGTGTCTGCAGATCTGGTCATTGACGTCTTACGTAAGTACTTCATCTGGTATTTGAATTAGTCTATGAAAACTCGGGAAGTCGGGAAGCATGTTGACGCAGATTTCCCTCGAGGCTTGGGATGCAATGCCCTAAGAGAGGAACCCCGGGTTATATGTGGTGAACCGTGTCTGCAATATACCATATACGATGCATTCACTACAACACCTAACATCAGAATTATGCCTTTGAACGAACACATGCATATGTATTTTACTTGAACACTGCATATATATAGACATTATTCCCATACGGTACAAGAATATTTTTATCATAATTTTTTTTTCTCTCGCTTTTTTTTGTGACGACTAGGGTTAACAGCCGAGGGTTAAAATGCAATAACCACGTCGAACTGTTTACTATTTTTGTGCGTTTCAGAGTTAATAACGTGTTAACAAGACTAACCCCTTTTCTGTAATAAATGACAAGGCCTTCAAAGACGCGTGTTCAAAAATAAAATGGAAAAAAAAGGAAGATGGACAGCTTAAATAAATGAAGGGAGGCAGACAGACGGTGATAAAAAGGGATAAAGAAAAAAAATAAAGAAGACAGCTTAATGAAGAGTGACAGAGTCTGAATAATATTGTTCTAATCTTTGCTTAATTACTTTTTTATCCTTCAAAGACGCGTGTTAAAAAATAAAATATAAAAAAAGGAAGATGGATAGCTTAAATAAATGAAGGGAGGCAGACAGACGGTGATAAATAGGGATAAAGAAAAAAATAAAGAAAACAGCTCAGTGAGGTGTGAAAGAGGATGAATAATATTGTTCTAATCTTTGCTTACTTTTTTAATTACTTTTTTATCCTTTCCCAAAGTTATCAAGGCCAAGGCTGATTTATTCACAAACAATCATTTGCAGTTAAGTCGTGCATTTTTTTACTTTTATTTATCAATAAATAAAGGTCTAGATGTATTGATTTTCTTATACGATTTACTGTAAAGTGTTTGTTAAATAATGAACAGAAAATAAGACTTTATTTGCTAATCCGTAACAAAAATAATAAGAAATATTTAAAGAGAGATAGATAGATAGATATACTGAGAGATAGATATAGATATATATGAATAGATAGAGAAACAGATAGATATACTGACAGAGAGATGTAGAGATATGTGATAGATAGATGCGTTAATAGATATATATATATATATATAGATATATATATATAGAGAGAGAGAGAGAGAGATGTTAACAGATAGATCAATAAATATATCAATATACAAAAAGACAGAAGTGTTAATAGATAGATAAGATAAATGCTTTAATAGAGAAATAGATATGATAGATATGCGCGTGAACAAATAGATAAATAGATAGATAAATGTAGCGATAGATGAATAGAGAGAGAGAGAGATGTATGTGTTAACAGATAGATCGGTAGATATCTATTCGTTCAATTATACTGCTGTGCTGTGTTGCATTTGATTGCCTTTGACCACACAAATTAGCCTTAGATGTTAGATTTGCAACAATTCACTGCCCGTAAATAAACCGATATACGTAGAAATATATCTTTGGTTTATTCATATCGCTTGGATTTATATATCCTTGATATGAATACGAGATGGATTGATATAAAAAAATATCCTTTTCATTAAACAGACGAGCGCTGACATAATCCACGGAAAGGCGCAACGGATATCATTTCATATCATTCTCAGTGTCTGATAGAGCAGTCAGGGCGGCTTGGCTGAACTCTATACCGTAAATGCAAAGTGATGTATTCTATGTGTGTGTGTGTGTGTGTGTGTGTGTGTGTGTGTGTGTGTGTGTGTGTGTGTGTGTGTGAACATATATACATAAGTGTATGTGAAGATATATACATATGGGTATGTGTGTGTGTATATATACATACATATGTACGTGTGTGAGTCTGTGTGTGTATACAAATACACACACACACACACACACACACACACACACACACACACACACACACACACACACACACACACACACACACACACACACAAACAAACACACACACATACACACACACACACTTCTTTTGTGAAAGTGAACATCAAAGGAAGATGAAGACAAAGGGGGGGGGTGAAATATTGAATAAATATTTATAATGTTATGTATATATATATATATATATATATATATATATATATATATATATATATATATATACATATATATACATATATATATATATATATATATATATATATATATATATATATATATATATATATATATATATATATATATGCATATATATATATATATATATATATATATATATATATATATATATATATATATATATATATATATATATATATATAACATAAATATTTATTCAATATTTCACTCCCCCCCTTTGTCTTTATCTTCCTTTGACGTTCACTTTCACAAACGAAGTACTCTTAAGCGCATACTGTGTTACTCACAATAAGGTCACAAAGAGCTTTTTCTATAAAATAATAATAATAATAATAATAATGATAATAATAATAATGATAGTAATAATGATAATGATAATAATAATAATGATAATGATGATAATAATAATGATAATGATAATAAAGAAAAACAAAAAAATAATAATAAAGTAATAAAAATACAAGACATTTATTAAAGTATTTTAATTTCTCTAGTATCTTTTGCGATTATAATAATAATCATTATTGTTATTACTTATATCATTATTGATATCATTATTATAATCATCATCAAAATCATTACTGTTATTATTATCATCATCACCATCATCACAATCACCATCATCATCAATATCAATATTGTTATTATTATTATTATTATTATTATTATTATTATTATCATTATCATCATCATTATCATTATCATTATCGTCATCGTCATTATTATCATTATCATTATCATTATCATTACTCTTATCATTATCATCATCATCATCATCATTATCATTATTATTACCTTCACGCAAGACATGAGTGAAAATGAAAATTCCAACAAAATGCTTTTTTTCCCGTGACACAGAAGGGGTGCGTGCCTTCGGAGAGATCTCACGGACGCAAAGAGAAAAATAGGAAGAAATTGTGTTGCTATGGGCGAGGAAGTGATGCGTAATAATGATGCATGATAATGGGGATAGTGATGGTGATGATTGTGAGGAGGAGGAGGATGGTTATGGTGATGATTGTGAGGAGGAGGAGGATGGTTATGGTGATGATTGTGAGGAGGAGGAGGATGGTTATGGTGATGATTGTGAGGAGAAAGAGGATGGTGATGGTGATGATAAAGATGACAGTGATGGTGATGATTGTGAGGAGGAGGAGGATGGTGATGGTGATAAAGATGATAATGATTGTGAAAATGATGATGATTGTGAGCATGATGATAAAGATAATAATGATAGTGATGAAGATGATTGTGAGGATGATGATGGTGATAATGATAGAGATGATAATAATGATAGTGGTGATGATTGTGAGGATGATGATAAAGATAATGATAGTGATGATGATGATTGTGAGGATGATGATAAAGATAATGATAAAGATGATAATAATGATAGTGATGATAATGATTGTGAGGATGATGATAAAGATAATAATGGCAGTGATGATGATGATTGTGAGGATGATGATGGTGATAATGATAAAGATGATAATAATGATAGTGATGGTAATTATTGTGATGATGATGATGACGATGATGATGATGGTGATGATGTTGATTGTGAGGATGATGATGGTGATGATAATGATGATAATAATAATGATATTAATAAAAATAATAATAATCACACAATAGGCAGAAATATAAATAGATAGATTGATAAATAGATAGATTGATAGATAGATAGATAGATTGATAGATAGATAGATAGATAGATAGATGGATTGATACATAGATAG